CTGCCAGCTACAGAATGGAAGAAAGACCCAGAAGCACTACCACCTCTCCTATGGATTAAGATAATGATATTGAAAGTTCATATTTTGGAAAAAAATCTGTTTTTCTGCACATAGCATGCTTTATTAGTAAGGTGTGTACAGAATGTGGTCTTGTGCATTAAGCGTTTTCTTTATATAAGAGGAAAACGCTTAAAGTGTGAAATAATGCGTTGCGTTCACATTTTGGGATTATATGCGTACAGTATGTGCACATAATATGCTTTACAGTTTTGTCTTTATCACTATTAATCACTTTATCACGTTAAGCCACATTAAGCATTATTCGTGTTCAGCATTTCAGAAAGTTCAAGTTCTGCTAATTCACAAGCCGACTGAGAGTCATTCTCGCAAAGGTAATGTTAATTATTAAAGCAAACAAAATCAAAACTTTCAAAAACACCCAGCAATGTGATTCTTTTTATATTCAGTTATAGGCAGTGGGTTTAATCAGTGATATTATCAATAGATTAACTTCTTCTCGTCATCTCCACGACCTGCTTCCCTTGTTGTTTTTACACATAAAGGCGAAAAAACATATTACATTGTTCAGTTTTCTCTCAGAACGATGATCTGAGTTGCTATTACAATTCTGCAATAATGAATGACATACAATGGTGACATTTATCACAATCACGACAGAAAATCAAAATACTGCCCTAAACTCAATAGCAGAAAGGCAGAGTGATCCTCCCAGTATGGCGGATAAACAAAGAAGTTTCCCAGAACTCAACGCGGCGTGACGTCAGCTTCACATTCTCTATTGGCAGTGAGCATTTGTCACGGTGCGTGCGGGGAGATGAAGCGAGGACTCAATTGCTGGAGAAATGGTACTTTATTTTGGTAAAAAATGAAACAAAAACAAACTCAAACCACCCCGAGGGGGAAGAACAGACAGGCAGAGCTAAAGCTGCACACATGCAGACACGAAACACACACAATGAGAAATGACGGATCAGCACAGGACGGCAGACACAAGGAGAATAAATAGGAACCAAATGAGGAGGCTAACGAGGGAGACACAGGTGGAGCAACTAAAACAATAACGAGGTAACAAGATGGGAGGGGCCAGACAATAGACAGGAGAGAGCACATGGCAAAAGACAAACACAACACAAGTCATGTGCTCCCAGAACACAGTCATCTGGTGGCCCTCCTGGGCACACCGGCTGAAGACTGTGACAGCATTATGCGTGACATTTATGCGCCCCGGCGCCTCGCGTTTTAGCCACCTGCTGCGCCTCATGTTTATAGGAGTGCTCTGAGCGCCTGAAGTTGAAAATAAAAAAAACAACTCTGAGCAGAAAAGCGGCCAACTTCATTCGTGTTTTTTTTCCCATTGTCCAATCGAATGAATGGAGAGGCAGGCCTTCCATTGTGGTGATGGAAGTTTACAGTTGTTTGGAATGTCCGGAGACTGCAATGATGGAGGAGAAACCTGTGGTGGTCGCGGTTTACCCGGAACTATATATTTTTTTACGTTTCGCCAATATGAGAGTTTACTTAACAGCAAACCAAAGGTTTTAAAGCGCTTGTGCTATAATCCTTGATTAGACTGACAGGACAGCTGATTCAGTGGCTGCCTAGCAACATTAAACAATTTCTAAATTAAAAGAAGCCAACCAAAAACAGGCAGTGTAGTGCGCCTCGCGTTTTCAAACCTGAAAAACGCGCTCTGTCTGATCGGGGCCTAAATGAATCTGCGGCAGTACAGTGGTCACGTGGTACAAGTCTTAAGATGCCTTCACGCTATGTCGTAATTACCGTAATTCTGAGATGACAACACGTGACATTCTACTTGGAGCTGAATTATGTGTTTCTATGGCAACACTATCGACGCCAAAGCCTTCACATGCTCCAGAACTTGTAATTACAACTTGTAAGCTCGGAATGTTCTGAGAGTTACGAATTGGACCATGTGACAGCTGTACCACTTGACTGCCGACAGATTCATTTAGGCGCTACCTGAGTCCGAGGACATGGGCAGCTCCGAGTAGAACGTCATGTGTTTTCAATTTGGAATTACGGTAATTACGACATGGCGTGAAGGCAGCTTTAGATTCCTAGCTCTCAGAAAATCCCCAGTTTACGAGTTGTAATTAGGAGTTTTATGAGGCCGTAAACGCATTTTACAAGTTAGAATCTGAGATTGTCTTTTTATTGCGAGGGTCTGTAGTACTTACCATTAGAAAAAGCATAACGGCTAGCTAACTTGGATCACATGAGGCACCTCAGCCAATCATACAATAGCCTCTGGTCTCCTTTCCCGCGTACCGCTAAAGCCGCAGCATTAGCATTACATGCTACATCTTTAAAGACAGTCATATATTTTGAACCAATGTGGTTCAAACGACGGAGCTGTCAGAATGTTACTATGGTTTCAGGAAACAGTCGTTACTAGTTGGTTAGTTTCTCCAGTGATGCATCATACAATGGTAGTTAATAATCAGCGAGTCACAGCATTGCATGGGAAATGCAGCCCAGCCTAACAAGCCGCACAATTTGAGGTATCACTCATTTCATAAAAAAAAAACCTTTCCTAACATAAGAATATGACATGCTTCATATTATCAAAACTTCTCAGACAACTGCTAATTTAAAAAAAAAAAAAAAAAAAAAAAAACCTTTCCTAACATAAGAATATGACATGCTTCATATTATCAAAACTTCTCAGACAACTGCTTTTATATTTATATTCTTTACTGTTTTTGTTATTCGTTTGATTTTGCTAAAAGATACTGCCCCTTTTTACACCTCAGTTTACCTTGTGATAGTGATATTTATAATATTGAATATTTCATCTAAAAAAGATATTGCTACATTTTAACATCAGCATCTTGATCCTTTTTGCAGTTATATGCTCGATTTCCAGCTGATACTTGAATGCGCTGTTAAAACTCGGCACGAGATGCACATGCTCTATAATGTCTGATTGTACTCTCAAAGTTTCCCGTCAGAAAAAAAACAAGTGAATCCAGTTGTGAACAAAGTGCACGTTGATGTGGAACATTTAGTATAGTTTGTGATATTGTGGGAGTGAGATGAATAAATGTTTGTGCGTTCTGTGGATTTGCGCATTAATATTAATAGGTAATGATCTCTCTCCTGAGATCATTACAAAAAGGCACTTGCATAAATATACATGACAGTTCACTAAACACATAAAGCAGACCTCAATTCTGACATTTAAGCAGATCCTACTGTATCATTACTGCTAATTCCAGCCACTAGCGTGTGATGCTACATATCTGCAGGTATAAATGGAGATTTAAGTACAGGCTTCTAGATATGCAAGTTAAATATTGTTTCTACCAACAATAGAAAGTTATGATACAGAATGTCAGATTTGAGAGGGGAAACACAAGCTCTGATCCAAAACCCAGTGAGCTGCCTACACCCTACATTCTAAGGCAGCATCCTAACTGAATTAGAATCTCATGAGATGTTCTGTATATGCAGAAGCTGTCATACAAATAGGAAACTCAGCAATCATCAACAAATGGAAAATTCGCAATCATTTTCAATACAGATGACATGAGAGGAACTTAAATACTGTATTTAAGTGTTTCTTAAATTGTTATGTCCCAGGGGTTGATTTTCAACTAATAGCTTTTAGATTTTATTTAATTTTTTTTGTTATATGACAGTCACAATAAAATGGACTTGGAAGCATCTTACTTTATTTTTTATTTTTTTTGCTACTGTTCAGATGTCTTACAGTATTTCTATAGTTGTTGTGTGAAGATATATCAGTTTTTCAGAAAACTTTCGACTGTCTCACAGTTGTGGTGTCATTTCCAGCACATCAAACTATTTTGTACCTAATTTATTAACAAAAATACTTGTACTTGGTTAATAAGGAGACAGCAGTGTCAAAAAGTGTGAAATATTTCATTGTGTTTACCTATGATACATAAAATGCTAGCTGCAAATTTAGGCTTAGTAAAACAAAAGAGTCTTGTCATTTTATTCCAAATGTCAAAATGTCCTTTCCATCCCAGAATGTCATTAAACATAATATATAATTTGAGTTGTGCTGGAAATGACAGTCTGGTGGAAATGAATTTCATTTTTCAGGAAAAAGAGACATTGTAAATGGACTAATTAAGAGCTATTTTCTAAAAGTCCACAGGGTAGGAAAGCGCATATAGTTAAAGGGGACATCGGATACCCATTTTCCACAGGTTGGTATGATTCTTTAGGGTCTTCATGAAACGTCTGCAACATACTTTGGTTAAAATTCCTTAATGAATTCCTTAATTCCTTAAACCGTTTTACAGCAAGCCATTTCGGTGCATGTCTCTAAATGATAATGGGCTACAGCTCTCCACTCTTCCGTTTTTTGTGTATTCAGTGCTGCATTACCATCAAAAACCAAACTAATCCATTGCGCCCTCAGTGGCACTGATGTGGGGAGAAAATGACTCTGTTTTACAACACAAGCAAAAATAGAGTTGGTGCCGAAACCATTGCTTCAGTGCTGCTCACGCGCTGCTCCTGCTCGAGTGCGGAGAAAATGGCAGACAGTGTACAACTGGCTGAGGGCGGAAATATGCTAATACAGACAGTATGTCAGCGGCCGTGGGCAAGGCCTGAGCAGTATGACGTCATACTTCTCAGAAAATCAAAATGGCTTGATAATTGAGACTCTTTTGGTTTTGGATTAAAAAAAAGGAGTGAACGGATTTTTATCATTGTAGGGTGGTTGTGTCCACACACTGCCAAGACACATTATATGCAAACACTATGTAAAAGTGAATTTTGCATCCGATGTAATCTTTAAAGAAGCATTCATTCAATACAATTCGAATGTTTGGGGTGAGTAAGATTTTTTTGTTAATTAACAAAAAAAATTACGCTTTTATTCAGCAAGGATGCATTAAATGGATTGAAAGTGACCGTAAAGACATGTATAATGTTGTGAAACTTCTATTCGAAGAATCCTGGGAAAAAAAATGGGTCATGGTTTTGTGTTGGAAACGTGCATAGAATGCTTTTCAGTGCTCACTAGGTTTTGCAAAAGAGCAATAGTATGCACTATTTAAATGCTGTCATATGCATAAAACATATATACAAACACTATTTCCCACAGTGAAGATAAAACCCATCAGAAGCAGGACTCGGGCACAGGTCTCTGTCTGCCAAGTGAAGTGCTGCTGTATCCGATTCTCTGTAGTGTTGCATAGGAGGATTTATCTACCGCAAGTCCTTTATGGGGGGCCGGCACCAATGGACTGTTTCTTTGGAGAGACAGCGTCCTTTTCAAAGTCATATCTAGCCTGCTCTGAATGTTGGATGAGCTGTGGGCGCGTTTTATATCAGCTGTGCTCGAACAAACCTGGTTTTCTCTGCCGTTAACCACTTTACTGGTGCCCCTGTGAGCGGTGCCGGTCTTCCTCACCTCAATGCCCTTTCCATTTAGAGTCCCATTGGATAGAGACAGTTTGGTCAAGCTCTTGCTGGAAAGCGTCTTCCCGTGACCCACCTCCTTATCCTGCAGTCTGGCGGTGCTGATGATGGTGCCGTCTTTACTCCTGCTTTCCCCCGTGGCCGTCTGAGTCTGGCTGGGATGAGTCCTGCTAGTCGTTGCCGCCTGGTTTCGTAGCCGTTTTAACGTGGAGTCTCTTGAATGAGATGCACTGTTGCTAGTAACGTTGAAAAGCACAGTAGGGGAACTTTGAAGCGACTTACTGGCCTGAGTCCTTTCGTGCTCCTGTCTGCTTTTTGAAATGTTTTTGGCCAATGAGCCTTTGGATGTGATGCCGTTAAGATCCGATGCTGGTCTGCTCTGGCCTTCGGGCAGTCTGGGTGAATCCGGACCTTGATAACTACTTCGCTCCACACTACTGCTACAGCTAGGGGAACTCAGAGAATCGTCCTTGCAAAGCTGGGCTTTGACCTGTGAAGGACTAGCCACGATACTTACTATGGGCTCCTTGGTACATCGAGGCCGCCGGCCAGACTCAAGGTACTCCACCAGCTCGTCATTTCCGATTTTTGGAGCGACGCTGGAGGGCTTTCTGCGGTCCTTAGAAGCAAATGACCAGCGCAGTGGAAGAACTTTGCTTGGGCCCGTCTTGGATTTGGAGTGGTAGCGCATACTCTTACTGTGGCCCCGGACGCTTCGTACAAAAGGCGTCGGCTCAACTACATCTAAAAGCAGAAAACGGACGACTAGTAAGTCATATTTAATGCATGCATCCCAAAATCGCAATAAACTGTTTGTAGAGAATGTTTTATGCTGTTACTTTTTATTAAATTAATTTGAACGTCTCAGCTTTCAAATTAATTGTATTTCAAATTGTATTGCTAAATTCAAACAATAAATGTTGTTTGTTTTAAACATTGTAAAATCGTGAATACATTGTTAAATATATGTACTACACTATAAATGCGTAAAATTTTCTTGTACAATAAGTTCCCATTAGTTAACTTTAATGCATTAACTAACATTAAATAACAATGAACAATACATTTGTTACAGTATTCCTTAGTCTTTGTTAAAGTAAGTTAATAAAAATAAAAATTTTCATTATGAGTTCATGTTAGATCAGGTCCATTACTTAATATTAACAGATGCAATTTTTTCATTTGAACAATGCATTAGTAAATGTTGAAATTACCATTAACTGAGATTAATGAATGCTTTAGAACTATTGTTCATTGTTAGTTCATGTTAATTAATGTAGTTAACCAAAGTGAATAAATGAAACCTTATTGTAAAGTGTTACCAGTTTTCCTTAACCTGTTCATGATTATGTAATGGATATTTGAACAAAACTCCTAATTCTGAAAAAAAGTTTGCAATCAAAAGTTACGATTTTTATTTTATTTCATCTTAAAACATAAGTATATCATTAAAAAGGCAGACAATTTCCTTTTTCCATTTAGTGCGCAAAACAACTCAAGTCAAAATTATTTAAAATCATTCAAAACCCGGAAGACTAATGTGCCACTTGTTCCCTCAAGATTTTAAAAATAGGGTTTTTCACTTAATGAGTAAAGCAAGGTCTGTGGTAAATATAAATTGATGATACTTGGATGTTTTTCTTAAGGGAATCTTGAGGCAACCCATGACAAACTGGTCTTCTGGGTTTTGACATCATGGCTGCAAAACTCTATAGAAGTAGTGGATATACAGCAAGAATATACTGACCACTGTCTTTATTTTGAGGCTCATGGATGATAGGAATGTGTGGTGTCTGGGGCTCTGGAGCTGAAGATGAATTGGACCGCTTGCTACTTGAATTTGATATTTGTTTGTCTGCGTTCAGTTGGATGAGCCAGTGGTCTGATGTAGAGGAGCTGGGGGAACCTGTGGGTCAAAAGTAGCTTACTTAGTCAACTTTGCTCCACTCATGCAAGTCAAAACGCTGTTGGGTTTTTCTGATAACAGACTGAAATGCACATGTAGCTGAATGCTAGCTATTTGGAAATAAGGAAACTTATTTCATGCTTTACGGTGAAGCATTTTGTGCTAAAGTGAATGTAAATAACAGGGACCGGTTCTAACTTTGCTGTAGCCTTTGAATCTGGGAGGCTCGTCTCCATTAAACACTCATGGAGATGAGATGGAATGGATCCAACAAGTATTACCATATGCATACAAGATGTTGGCAGACTGCTGGTGCAACAAATTTACAAAACAGAGCTGAGTTACAGACCTTGGGAAAATTGCAGCATATGAAATAATGTCTCAGACGGGTTGAAAGAAGACGTGATGCACTGAGACATGACCTTTCAGAGATGCATTTTTTTTATCTAACCTTCATATTAAAGGTGCAGTAAGCAATATTTGAAAAACATTTTGACCACAGTGTCAGACCAAGTCCCAAAACAAACTTGCAGCCAATCAGCAGTAAGGGGCGTGTCTAGTAATGATCGGGATAAGAGAGCGCTCAGTGAGTGCACAGGTCGGATATTAGCAGATCGACTATAGATAGCGAGAGATGGCAGATTTAAAAAAAAAAAGGGACAAAACATTAAAAAGAAGGGTTACGATCAGGCAACAGGTAGGACCCGTGTAAATATTGGGGCAGCTTTCCAGTGATGGAGAAACTCAAGGAGCGTGTTTGTTTTGGGGATTTCAAATATCAACATTGTTTGATAAAATTCGCTTAGTGCACCTTTTATGTGACTGGCACATGTTTTGGGGTGGGAAGAATGTGAGTGTTTTTTTTTTTTTAGTCTCTTAAGCTCACCAAGGCTGCATTTTTTAAATCACAGATATAGTAAAACAGTAATATTTTAAAATATTACAATTTAAAATGTTTTCTAATATGAGAGCTGTTGTTTTTGTATGTCTGAGTCTGATCCAGAGAACATGCTGTTCCCTTTTTTATGGCCGACTTTAGGGGGTTAGTTTGCTCAGGAAAACGAAAACTCTGTCCTGTCATTTCAAAACGATATGACTTTCTGCAGGACACAAAACAAGATACTTTGAAGAAGGCTGGGGTCTAAACATCACTGGACTCCACTGACTTTCTTTGTATGGATTGAAACTCTGAAATGTTTCAAAATATCTTCTTTTGTGTTCCACAGTACAGGTTTGAATAAATGATGACAGAATATTCCTTTTTGGTCAGTCTTTTAAATTAATACTTTTTATTCAAGGATGCATAAAATAGATTAAAAGGGACAATAAAAGACTGCATTATTTTAATTTTAAGAATCCTGAATAACAAAATATATCATAATTCTACAAAGTATTTAGCAGAACAACACAGTTTTCAACATTGATAATAATAATAAATGTTTCTTGAACAGCAAATCAGCATCTTAAAATGATTTCTGAAGGATCATGAGACACTGAAGACTGGAGTAATGATGCTGCAAGTAAAAAAAAAAAAAAGATATTTTAAAAAGTGTCCTAATATTGTGTTTGGAGTCCCCTACAACAAGTTTAAATGCATCTACGGTCAGAATACATTGTAATTTTCTCAGAATATACATTTAATATTAGAATAATTTTTCAATGATTTTGAAACTATTCGCAGTTCTGAGCTTAAGGTCTGTAAACTCCTTCCTTCCATAAGCCTACTCTGCTCTGATTGGTCAGTTGGCCAAGTCTGTTGTGATTGGTCTTTCCGTATACAATGCGTGTCGGAAACGAAATGGTCATTCCCATAATAAATTTTTTGCTCCAGAGGGTTACTTGTAAACAAAGATGCTATAAGCTTACAAAAATGGCACCGATATTACCTTATCAATTCGAGCCCGATTCCGAGGATGATACCGATGCAGTCGCTCAACAGGAAACTCCGGTTGAAACGTTGAAACGTTTCTCGTGGTATTTTAAAGTTTGTATGTGGTACTTTACGTGATGTGACAGCAGTTTTATTGCATTCATTATTATTATTATTATTATTATTATTATTTACTTATTTGAGGTGCACGTGTGGGAATTGTGTTAGAATGCCCAGTGAGGCTAAAAACACAGCATCTTCTCGCCATGAGGTAAAACTAACTAGCGAAAGTATTTGTGGGGAGGTCAGAGTGTTCGTATTTCACGGGCACGCATGGATTATGCAAATGTGTTACCTAGTGATGTATACAGGTAACAGGCAGAAGATTCGAAAATATGACGACTCGATAAAGGGGTCATAGGATGCCCATTTTCCACAAGTTGATATGATTCTTTGGGGTCTTAATGAAACGTCTGCAACATAGTTCATACCAATTTCTCAATGGTAGTGTAAAAAACTCCTTTTTCCCCTGTCAAAAACAGTTCTTTTAAGATCAAGCCGTTTTTGTAGCATTTTCCTTT